GACTCGATGGCACCTGACAACAACAACAACAACAATCTTTGCCTGAAGTGAAGTTCATGTTCACAGCCAAGTTCACACAGATCCCACCAGCACCATCCATTCTCCCGTGGGGCTGTGCTGCTGGGAGTGGTCGGGCTCGTGACCATGAGACCAGTGCCTACACCCTGCCCCTTCGCCCTGGGTCAGGGAGGACAACTGTGCCAGGAGAAGTGGGCTCACACTCACCACTGCAGGGGTTTGGCAAGGAGGCTCTGACCTAGCCTGCCACTCACTGTGCAGCATCACTCAGCAGGCACCCAGTGTGCCAGGCCCAGACTGGGCACCCTGAGGACCCCCTTTCACTGCTTTGATGGCCTTTGAGATGGGCAAGGCTGACCCTTCCAAGATGAAGGCAAGGCCGGGCCAGGAATAACAATGGGGGTCTGGCCCTGAGGGTGGGAGATCCCAGGTTGGATGCTTCTCGGAGGATCCATGGAAGACTGAGCCAAGACCAGAGCTGCACCCGCCTCCCCAGGATGGGCCAGATGTTTACACCAGGGAGGGACTCACTGCTGGGCTAGATGTTCACATCAGGGAGGGGCTCACTGCTGGGCTAGATCAACAGGAGATTCGGGGCCCAGGGAGGAGTCAGGTCAGTGATGACCTGGCAAGGGTGGGCACAGGGATTGCGGGGTACCAATGGGTCAGGCGAGGACTTGGGAGGGCAAGAGTGGGGCAAGGAGAGGCCTCTCCAGGACAGCAGCCTTCATGCTGCCCCAACGGTGGGGGCATGTGGAGTGCAGAGGGGACTCTGCCCTAAAGCAGAACAGCCAAGGGGGCCGCTCAGGAGAGAGCAGGTATAGGTGGAACCTGCTGGACTCAGGGCCAGTCAAAGGCATGTGGGCAGTCATTGGGGCTGCCACTGTGGCCAGGTCAGCATTGCTGAAGTGTCCCGTGGCTCTGACCTGGACACCCACGCCCCTTTATGCAGATGCACGTAACATGACCTGGGGACTGGGCCAAGCAGACACCTGGACTGTCCCAGGAGATGCCAGGCAGGGGGTGATATGTCTCTGAAGGAGCTGGCCAGGCAAGAGTGCCCCGGCAGAGTGGGCAACAGAGGACAATGACCACCAACATCAAATGGAAAGCTCCTTCAGATGACCAGGACTCCCCTGAGGAGAGACCATGGTGGGGTGCCCAGCAGAGCGGGCCTGTGTGCCACACCTGCCTTCAGTACTGCATGTGCTACTGATGTGTGGGGTTAGGGGTACCAGCTAGGTCACATGCAGACTGAGATGGCATGCTTCTGAAGTAGTGCCCCACTGGAACAAGGTCCAGTGCCACCCCGGATAGGCCAATCTGAAGACACATGAGACCCCTCATCGGCCCCAAGCGGGACACGTTCCATTTCTCCTTGCTGGTGGGGCTGCGTCTGTGCTGTGAGTGTGGTGTGTAAGTGACTAACGTTGCCGGTTATTCTTAGCTCAGTATGGCAGCAGCGGCTCCACAGTTCAGTGTGTGAAAGAAAGCTGTTTCTTCTAAATCTGGACCACATTGCCAGCGCATGTTCTAAGGTCTCTGCCCATCGGAAAAGTCATCACCTTGGGAGCCAAAAATTCCTCCAAGGTGGAAGCTTAAGGGAATGGCAGATGGGACAGAAGCTGTGGGTCAGGTCCAGATGTGCCCCCCTCAGAGTCTCACGGGTCATTGTCCCATGAGGAGGTGTCTGGAGCCAGGTAGTTGGTGACTTTGATTCAGAGGGTCAGGGCAATAGGACTGAGGACCCTGGCCCTTTCCCTCTTTGTACCATGAGTGAGATGTTGCTCCAGCCATCACAACACCTTCCAGGCAAAAGAAAGAGAAAGCAGCAAAGGTACCTGGCTGGCAGCCCCTCAGAGAGCCTTCCTGGAAGATGTGGACAACCTCACAGGTCACCTCGCCCCCAAGGAGGCCTGGGAAGTGTGTTTCGTGGCTGGGCCCTGCCCCACCTCCGCCCTGCCTGGCAGTAAAGGACCTGATGTGGAGAGAGCAGGAGCGGCTACCACACCCAAGCGTGGACCCTGGAATCCGTAGGGCACAGCCTGTCTTCATGATGACCTGTGCACCAGCCAGACCCATCAGGAACCCCCAGCACCCCCATGCACCCCTTCCTGGTGTCCTCTGGACCTGGAGCAGTGGGTGCAACCCCCTTCCAGAACTTCTGTCTGTGGGGCTGGCATCAAGGGTGACCACAGGATAGAGCATGTCCAGGAGTGCACACAGGACCCTCCTCAGATGCCCACCATCCTCCCTGATCCTAGAGACTATGTACATGCCCCTCACCCCAAGTGTACAGAACAAGCCACCATCATTCAGGTCTGCTGGGCTGGGCCCAGGAACCCACCAGACAGTGCGTGCCCACAGGGGAGAGCTGCTGAGCCCGGCCTGAAGATGGCTTGTTGGCCAACATGAAGCTTTAAGGGCTGGTCCACTGAATGGCCTCTTTTCTATCCCTATCACACTGATCACCCCCAAGGAGACCCCTCACAACAAGGGCAAGGCATCGTCACACATCTCCCCACCCACCCCCCTGTCCAGGGTCCAGGTTGGTAGGACTGGGTGCTGCGGGAACTCTGGTGAAGGTTCACCCAGGCTGCTCAGGGAGCAGGTGCCAGGACATAGCAGCCCTGAGCTGGTGGTCACAAGAGCAGACTCAGTCACCAACACAGCTCAGCCCAGCCCAAGGGAGCAGAGAGCCTGCACCCAGCCACCTCACTGGGCTCACCCAGAGGGCAGGGACTCAGCCTGGCACAGACCCCAGTCAGGGGGCAAATGGGGAAAATCTGCCTAGATGTCCAAATGGCCAGCAGTACAAACCCGGCATGGCTATAACCTCACCCCAAGGTTGTCAGTGGGGAAAGTGGGTGGGAGCAGGTGGGGGAGGCTGAAAGATGCACCATCACAGGGCCTGGCCGGACTGTACAACATGTCCCCTGGGGGACAGACATGGGGAGTTAGGGACATTATTTTGGGGCGGGGAGGGAAAAGGGGTTGCCCTGTAGAATTTTATGAATGTTCCAGATATATTAAATGAGCATTTATTTATTGGACTTTACAAAAGTGGATGTTTAAAAGCATCTGCCCCTCCACAGCCTACCCAAGCTCTATTCAAAGTATGGGTACCTCTGCTTCCCCAACGGCAGACCCTTCCTAGTGCCCAGAGGAGATCCCTCCACCAGCCAGTTGCACCCGCATTCAGACCCCTGGACACACTGTCCACGGTGTCCTCGCCACGTGGTTCACCATGCTGGTCTTCTCTCCAGCTCTCCTCCAACTCCCGACTCCCTATCCCAGGTGCCCATCAGGTTCAGTCCTGCCCCCACCGACCCACTGAGCACAGAGTCCACCGTGTCTGCTCAGGGGCCCCTCTTCCTCGCAGTCACCTCTTCCTCCTGCGTGTCTTTCAGGCTGGTTGCCCAAATCCATGACGAGCTCCTGTTTGAGGTGGAAGACCTACAGGTCCCCGAGTTTGCAGGTGAGACAAGAGCCCCATCTACCCATCCATTCATCCACATGTCCCCAGCACAACACTGTCCTGAGTGAATCCTTCCCATGTGCTGAGGGTGGTATGCGCTGGGCTAAGTTCAGGAGGCACGGGGTGGTCACACCAGGCTCAGACAAGTCACAACCACCCCCATGAAGACCAGGGATCCCGGGCACCTTCCTAGTCAGGCCCAGAACGTGCGGTCTGAAGCCTGTGGAGACAATCAACTGGAAACAGCTCCATCCAGGGGACTGTGGACAGCAGTGCCCATGCTCGGTTGCTTCCGTGATCCCTAGGAAGGCTGCAGTTATGCCCACATGGTTCCCCCAAGAAGGAGCCCTGCTGGTGCCATGCGTTACGTGGGTTACGACAACGTATTAGGCTGCTAATGAAAGGTGGTAGGTAATTCAAAGCCACCAGCCTCTCCTCAGGAGAAGCAATAGCAGCTTCAGCAACCCTGCGGAGCCATTTACGCTTTCCTCCAGGGTCACTGGATGTCAGCATAGACTCATTGGCGGTGGGTGGGTGCTGAGGGGTTCCCGAGCAATCTCCACCCTCACGGGGCAGTGAGGGGTGGTAGCTGTCCCTGCAGACACTTCTCAAGGCAAGGGGCCCGCCTGGCACTGCCCTCAGGAGCAGTCCGGGACTGTGGGCCCAGGATATGGGAGGCAGCAGAGGGCCAAAACCCAGGCTGAAGCTTCCGCAGCTATTGAGGACCAGGCACCCGGGCTGTGTCTCAGTCCCCTTCGGCTGCGGCCTCATGGGCTCATAATAAGGGGCAGAGGAGGAACTGGCTTTACTGCACACCCAGCAGGCGGGAGACCTACCCTTGACCCCCACTCTCCCCCAGTCCCCATGCAGTGGCCAGGCAGGAGGATGGTGTGGGCCCAGGCCTACTGGACTAGAGAGTAGGAGGAATGGTGAGCCAGCAGAGAGATACAGCTGAGGCCCAGGGATGCACCGATGGGGACAAGGGGAGGATGGTGGACACGGCCCAGGGCACTGTGTGGGAGTGGACACGCCCTCCCCAGTGCCCTCACCCACTGTGTTCTGAAGTGGCCTCTGTTTCCCCAACACCAGCTCTCGTGAGAGCCACCATGGAGTCTTTGCAGCATGTCCAGGCCCTGGAGCTGCAGCTAAAGGTGAGGGACACAGACACTGGTGTCTTGCCCTGACCCTCTCCCAGACCCTCCCCCGTGAGAGGAAACCACAGTGGGGGATCGTGACTTCTCCCCCTGACTGGGACCCTCCACTCTTGGCCACCTACTTCTGGACAACACCCCCTTCTCTAAGGTACACCCCGTAGTGGTAAATGTCCCCTCAAGGCTCGGTGGAGGGGTGTAGTCAAACCTCCCTGCCCTCCCAGTGCACCCTGGGGCGTGCCAACAGAGGCTGGTCTGTGGGATAGGGAGAAGCAGGGAGGGTAAATGTCTGTGCCCCCACACCCACTTTCTCTGACTCTCCTCAGAGACGGTGGCAGGGAGGGCCCCCGGGTGGTGAGCATAGGCCAAGGGCACCTTGCTTAATACCACCCTGTGGTCCCACTTGCTGGCACAGAGCCCTGGCAGGTAGGGGGCCGTCAGCCCAAGTCAACGTTCATGACGGGTAGATGTGGGTGTGAGCATTTCTACCCACTGCTGGTAAGTCTGTCCATATTGGTGGTATTAAATACTATACCGTCAAGTTGGTTCCAGCTCGTAGAGACCCTGGTTAGGGGTTCTGAGGCTTTAAATCTTCCCAGGAACAGTAAGCTTCATCCATCTTCCAAGCTGCGGCTGGCGGGCTTGAACTGAAGATCATATGGTTCTCAGTCCAGTGCTTAGCATATGGCTTCAAAAAGTTTGTGGAAAACGGAATTTCTCCACAAGCCTTTTGAAGCCCCCTCATATGTAAGCCCACATGCGTCCTATGCACGTATGTGCATGGGTGTGTTCAGTGGTCATGTGTACATGTGTACATACATGTGTGAGCTGTGTTTGTATGTGTGTGTGTTCACAAGTGTGTGCCTGGGTGTTGAGTGCTCATGTGTGCCTACACTCCCCTGCACCCACCCTGTCCGGCTGGTCTGTGGCACTGAGCTATAGCAATGTTTAGCCATGTCAGCGGCTGCGGGTCTCTCTGTGAGCCTAGGTCTCTGTGCCTCAGGCCACCAATGTGAGTGCTGCCCCCCAAATGCAGGGCTGGCCCAGACCTAGACCCAGGCTCAATTCTGGTTTTGCCCCTAGGTGCCCCTGAGGGTGACTCTGAGCGCCGGCCGCACATGGGGCTGCCTGACCCCGCTGTAGGAGGCCCTGGGCCCAGCCCCATGGCTCCCCCGGAACAACACACCAAGTCTCCAAGCAACACCCAGGCCACTGCTGCCAGGTCCTGAGCCCCACCTACCTGGCCTTCATTTCACCCGGAGGCTGAGGGAGGCGAGAACTGGTTTCCACCAGCCCACTGAGCACCCTTTCCCAAGGTCACAGGGAACTGCTTCATGCGGCTCCAAGTTCAAGTTAACCCCTACAAGGTGGCCTGGTCACCCAAGTAAAGTTCTAAACAAGCTTCCCCTCCTGGTCCAAGGGGCTTCTTGTCGGCAGCTTCCCACCAGCTGGGGTCCACCACTGCTGACTTGGTCCAGTAGCATCCTCTCCCATCCACCATTCCGTCACCTGGCCCGGAGGACAGCCTCCTTCAGACAGGCACTGCAGGTCTGTTCCTCACCAGCCCCCGAGGGAACCGGGCCTGGGACCACCAAGAACCCCTGGCAGCTAGCCTTCAAGGCCGTTCTTAGAGGCCCAGCCCAAGCTTCAGCCAGCCTCACACTCCCAGCTGGAGTAGCAACAGGAGGCCCTTTGTGTGGTGGGGAGACTGAGCCACAGGCCGGTCAAGCCACTGGGGCTCCCGAGTCTGACTCTAAGATTTCACTGGGCCCAGAACCAACCTCGGCCCTGCTGCCTGCAATGGCCGGTCAGAGCCACACCAACTCACAGACCTGCTGGGGTCCTGCATACCCCCGTGTGCCCAGCCTGTCCCTGCTGTGTGCTGCCCCTCAGTGGGGCTTCAGGAGGGGCAGCCACACTGGCTCACATGTCAGCGGAATCCTGGGTCTGGGTGATGGCCCACTCACACTTCCTTTTTTCCTAATGAAAAACACTGTTTCAGGAACCACCTTGTTTACCAAGCACTGGGCATAGGAACAACCTTTCTGGGTGAGCTGGAGTCGCCCCACTGACCCACTGGGGACCTTGCTGCATGGTCTTGGGCCACTTAGCGGGCCCGTCCCTCAGCCTTCATTTATTCAGCAAACTCCAGTGGGCAGCTGCTGTGGGCCCGGGCCTGGGGACACACCCACCCACTGCTCACTGCCCCAGCTTCAGAAGTTCGTTTCCCCTCAACGGGCCCGGGAACGGAGGTGGCCCTGGGCCTGGGTCTCCCGGAGGGGTCCTCTGCTCCCCCGGGGGCTAGCACTTGCTCTGGCTTCAGACATGTGCTGGTTCCAGGTGACAGTCCCTCCCAGAAACTAGAAACTGGCTGGGAGCTAATGCCTTGTGTGTACATGTTCAAGTGGCTACATGTATGTATGTGTATGGCATGTACACATGGGGGTGTGCACGTGTCAGTGCATGTACATGTGTGTTCCGACACCTATGTATGCGTGTCAGGTGTTTTTGCACGAGTGCACATATGTCCATCTTTTTATGCATGTGTATGTGCTCCTGTGCACACATGCGTATGCATTGGGCATGTGTTGAAACACACATGGACGTTTGTAATGTGCTTGTATGTGAGCACATGTGGGGAGTTAATGTGTGCATATATGTGCATGTATTGCACTGTGGTTGTGTATGTGTCTGCATGTGTGCACACATATGTATTTGTGTGTGTCCATGTTCAGACACAGATGAGCTGGCTTAGGAGTGTTTTGAGGGTGTATGTGTGTTCATACATGAGCAAGTGTGGGAGTCAGTGTACATGTGTGAGCTGGTGTGGGAGTGTTTGTGCACGTGTGTGCCCGAGAGCACCCAGGGACACAGCACTGACATGCTGAGCAGCCGTGAGGGCCGGAGGTTGGCATCCAGGATCTAGGGTGCCCTGGGGCAGGCAGTAGAGGCAGCGGCTGAGGATGGATGAGCCGCTCACCCAAGAAGTGGGGACCATGAGTCCAAGGTCTATCAGGAAGGGGCAATGGCTTAGGGATACAGAGTGCAGGCCAGACAAGAGCAGTGAGAGTCTGTGTGGACACTTCTGCCCCTCAGAGCGGTTACTGTGCGGAGTAACTCTGGTCCTCCGGGCTGGCTCCCCACGCAGGAGCCGGAGAAATCTGCCCTGTGCACTCCATGAATCCCTGCCTGGAACCGCTCAGATTAACAGTGAGCAGCTAGTGAAACGTGTCTAGACATAGACACCAGTGTTTGTGAGCGCAGAACCTGAGGGGCCAAGTCCCGGCCTGTTGTACACCCTGAAGGTATCACTGCCCTGCTCGGGGACGGGGACCCAGCATGCGTCTCAGCAGGGCTAATCCAAGCTGAGTTCGGACATCAATTCCCAAGGCTCTTAGTTGTTTTAAGTAAAATGTTGTTGAAAGCCCAGGAGGAATGATGTCCGTGAGACTCTGGGGGTCTCAGGCTGGGGGAACACAAAGAAACATCCCAGGGGGGCTTGCGCACCCTCAGCCTGCTCCTCCCTCCCACAGACTCAATACCTCAATGCCCATAATTCTGCGCCTCCGGCCAGCAGGAGCACATGGCTGGACACTGGACTGGACGTCGTGTTGTCTATGGGAGGGCAGCTGACAGGCGTGTCTCAGGGCTCGAGTACACAGGCCAGGGTGAACCACAGGGCAGCGAGTGCCGGGCACAACCAAGCAGCTGAGCCCCCAACCAGGTGGGGGACCATGCTGAGAGTTCCAAGTCCAGGAACCCAGCATGAGCCAGGGTGAGGGTGGGGGCAGAGGTATGTCACCAGGGGCTCATGCAGAGGGGGTCAGAGGGCACCGGGGAGTTGCCACCAGTGACCATCCTCGCTCTTAGCCCGAGTGCCCCCCAAGGACCGGCTCCCTGCTGCCCGGACACCTTCCCCAAATGGGTCACCCGTCCCAGCCCCACCATCAGGAAGCACTTGGACCGAATCCTTCAACTCTGGTTTTATTGAAAAACAGCAGCATGAGGAGCACGCAGGCAGAGGGGTCACACGCCGCACCAGGGCCAGAGCACCCCTGGTCCTCTGCCCTTCCAGGGCCCCCGGGGGCTTTTTGGCACATCCTGGGGTCTCAGGACAATCGCTACAGTCGTGGGCTCACAGTACATTTGAAGAGCAAACCAGAACCCGCGGAGCCCACCGCCCACCCTGAACTCCGGCTCTGTATTTACAGCAGCCCCGCCCACCACCCCACCACCACCTGCAGCCTCTGCTATCCACTTGTCACATCACCAAAACTGGCCACAGCCAAGGGGTCCCCACCAACCTCTTCCCTCCCCATGCCCCCAGACCCTGTCCTGCGTCCCCTCCCCAAAGTGTGACCTGCCTCTCTCACCACCCAGGTCTGGTAATGCAGGGTATCAGTTAGGTAGGGTCAGTCCCCTCCCACCGATGAGTGAGGTCCCAGCCAGCCTGGACAAGACAGGAGGGGACATGAAGGAGGAGCTCTAGCAGGCTGGGGACGGCGGGGCAGAGTCTCTGAGCAGGCCACCCCTTCTTAGCTAGTCCAGGGTCTTCACACATGCACACACACACACACACACGTACCCACACACACTCAGATACACACACGCACATCTTTAAAATGGCTAATTATTGCTGCTAAAAAAAATAATCATAATAATGCATCCAGCAGTGGTCCACATGAGGGCACATGCTCCTGGGCACCCTCTCCAAAGTGGACATCCCAGCCTCTGTCACACAGCTGCCCAGAACTCAAGCCCCCGCCGTGGAGCAACCTGCGCAGAACTGTCTAAGTAACAGAAGCTACTTCCAAGAGCCTCGAGCTCAGCTACAGGAAGGCATCTGGCGGGAGGAGACGCCTCAAGGGCCCCACGTGTGGGCAAGCACATGGCAGCTTGGAGGCCATCCTGCACACCAACAATCCCGTATGCCAGCACAGCCCCTGCCCGGCCAAGGAGCTGCCTGTAACCCCCAAACACCTCCAGTCCCTGGCCCCCAGCACAGCTCCAGTGAGAACCCAAGGCAGGCAGGGGCTCACCTGGTGAGGATGGGGTGGCAGATCACCTTAACCCCTAGAGAACTTCTCGAGCACATTCGAGGTGCCCAAAGGAGGCCACTCTGAGCTGGAGTTGTCCCTACCCCACCTCCCCCAAGGGCCTAGAGTAGTCTAACCCCTCTTCTGCTTAAACCTGTACCCAGGAGAGGCTCCTGAGGTCTAAGGGGCCTTGGCCAGCTACCCACAGGGCCTCCCCCCCACATGGGAGAAGGGGTTTCCAGGGACCCAGGCCAGGCTGATCCTTTTCCTCTGCCCCCATCTCAGGGGCAAGGCTGGACCTGGAGGTGGAAGGACACAGTCATGGTGACCAGTGGACCCCATCACACTCAAGAACTGGCCTCAGTGAGGCTCAGCCACACCCTGACCACCCAAAGAGCCCTCAGAGCAGTGGGATGGCCTCTGGCCACATGACCAGGGCCTGTTGGCACTGTCAGTCGGCGTCCACAGGTGCTGGGACCCGATAGTCACCACAGCGTCCTTCCATCAGCCACAGGAGCCAAGGACACCAGGACCCCCTGTGCAGAGCCACATCTGTGCCAGGGCTGTCTCACACCCCCACCGCAACCCCAAACACAGCTGCTTCCAGAACCGACCTGGAAGCCCGGAGCGAGCACAAGGGCAGAGTCTGTGTGTCAGCCACCCAGGAGACATGCGGGGCAGGAGGGAGAGCCCAGGGCCAGTATCCTCTTGCAGAAAGAACAGCCAGTAGCTGGGCACCCAGGAGGACTTGTCACAGGTGAACTACAGGTTAGCTTGAGTTTCTACAGATGACAGAGAAGTTCCGGCTCTGTGTACATTTACAGCAGCGCCTGCTCTCAGGTGGGAGCCCCAATGGTTCTGGGGACCATAAAGCCAAACACAGGCTTCATGAGGCTCAGCCAGGGGCACAGTGGGAATCTAGCCTGCTGGACCCCACTAAACCTCTCAGCAGGGAGAACCGTCAGACAAGAGCAAAAGGATAGCTGGCCTGGGACTCCAAGAACACAGCGTCTGCAACTACAAGAGGGCAGCAAAGTCTAACCCCACCACCTGCTGACTATGCAGCTGGGGGAGAACACAACAAACCTACCCTTCACCCCACCCCCCAAAGACCCCGTGGTAGGTGGGCAAACAGATGTCTCAGGACAACAGGACCAGACCCCACCCAGGGCCTCCTGAGCCCCCCAGAGGCAGGGTCTCAGGGGGCCCCCTTGGTAGCAATACCATCATAGTGCATTACATTCCAGAGCTCCCAGGTTCTTCCCCTGGCCTCAGTGGATTCTGGGGACCCTACCCAGTGCCCCACCCAGATCCCAGAAGCTCCAAAGGCACAGGATCAAAGGCTGGCGGCACAACCAAGCCACCCACCCAACAGAACACGTCCCTCACGATGCTGTCCCCCATAGCCCCTGCCCTGCCATCCCCACCACAGCCAGGCTTTCCAGCCAGCCAGCCCCCAACCCGCAACACCAACTAAGACCAACCCCAAGCCAAAACCAAGCCAAACAGAAAGAGGAAAAAAGGCACAAACTGATTTCCATTTTGCTAAAACACTTTACGTCTGTCTGTATAATCCAGATTAACAAAATCTGAGAGCTGCAAGAAAATAGGGTGCCAATTTCTGTACAGTCTACAAAACCCCCATCCCCGTGCAGGGACCGGGTGCCACCAGGGAGAAATGTACAGGGGAGCGGGGTCTGTACAGGATTCTGCAAACGTCTCAGGCGCCTCGAGAACAAAGGCCCCTCGGGAAGCTGGCCTTGCTCCACTAATTCATTCACTTCTGAAGCGTCTGTCAGAGCGGCCCCTCTGTGGGCCTGCCCAAGGGCCTTGGGGGCTGGGACTCTCAGGTCTGTGGCCTGCCATCCCAACCACCCCTCCCAGAGCCCCCACATAAAGGGGGTCTTGGTGACACTCCTACCCCTTTGCCACAGGGTGGCTGACCCAGGCACACAGCTGGATGAGGTGGCACCACCAATGGCTGCCCACCTCTCCCTCCCAGTCCACTCGCAGGCTAGGCCAGGCCTGTCCACCCCCCCGAGAGCCAAGGGGCATGAGAGTCCCCATCCTCTTTCCCCAAAAGTCCTGCTTCTATACCACCCTGCGACTCCTCCACCCTGGCTAGAGAGAGACACCCTGAACTCCTCACAAACCAGGTGCCCTTTTGGGGAAACTGGTGCTAAATCAGGGTCTCCCTCTGAATCCTCAGCTCTGAAACCCTCTGACCCCCACCCCCACCCCCATCTTCCTACCACCACATGGAGGTGCCTGCGTGGCTGAAGGTTCAAGCTACCATTTTTGTCCCAAGAAGTAAATTCATGCAGAGTTGCTATTCTGTCTAAATAACTTATTAAAAAAATGGGGTCTGGGTCAGGCTGGAGGAAGCTGTGGGCTTGTTGGGTGTCCGCGGCAGCGGCCTGGTGTAGTAAGATTCACAGACCGGCCCATCAGGGAAGGAGAACAGCTCCTAGGAAGGGCTGGGGAGGCCACACAAGAACAGTGAGAAGAGGGTCCCCCAGCTCCCCGCCCAGGCTGGCTCTCCAGAGGGGCCTGACCAGGCTGTGCACGGTTGCTATGGGAACCGCACCTCGATGGTGACGGTGACGCCAATCAGCCAAGTTCCTGGCAGGGGAGGGTCGGGAGCAAAGGAAAGGAAGATGGTTGTGATGTGAAAGCAAAGGGAATGGGTGAAGCCAGGGGCCGTAGGGGTGGGCAAGCGAGGGCAGGGTCCACCCTCCTGCACTCACTGGCTTGCTCAGCCAGGGCTCGGGGTCCAGTCTGGCCAGGGCAGCAGCGGGGCTGCAGGCATGCGGGCGTGCTGTGGCCAGGGCTATGTCCTTGGCATGCACAGAGCAAAGCAGGCCACGGCCAACTTGGCCCCATGGCCCAGCCAGCCCCCCGGATCCACGGTTGAGGTTCTGTGCTTAGTGGGCAATGCCTGGGCAGCCAGGCCTGCCCCAGATGTGGCAGCCAGAACAGTGGTGCTCACACCTGAACAGAGAGGGCCCTGAGCTGGTCAGCTTGTGCCGCTGCAGTCATGGTGGTCTACGCCGTCCCTCTTCGGGGCCCGAGGTGGGGGACTGGAAAAGCAGCAGACTGGAAAAGGTGGGGGCTGTGGCTGCCAACGAACCCACCCCATCCCAAAGTGTGATGGACAAGCAACAGCCCTGCACCCCAAGAACTGACCAGCAAGAACCATGTGATGTCAAGAAAGGAAAAACCCACCCTACAAAGCCAAGGTGAGTGTCTGGGAGCAGGGCTGAGCCGGAGGCGAGCGGCAGGCAGGTGGTAGGCAGACGTGGGGAGGGTGGGCAGTGGGTGGCCGGGAGCGGCAGGCGGGCAGGCAGGTGGGCGGGCAGCGGGCGGTCACTCCTCGCGCAGCTGCAGGCGGTAGCGGTGGTAGCGAACCTGGAAGAAGAGGCGCTCGGCCAGCGAGTGGGTCATGCCGGGCAGCACGTAATGGTCACTCGCACCCATGTGTCTGAAACCCAGAGACTCGTAGAGCTTGTGCGCGGCCACCTTGACGGCCGTCGTGCCCAGCACCACCGCCGAGTAGTTGTTCACCAGGGCAAACTCCAGCACCTTGCGGCCCAGCGCCTTGGCGATGCCCTTGCCACGGAAGCGAGAGTCCACAGACATGCGCAGCAGCTCTACCGTGTTGTCCTCCTCATGGCTCCGCGCTGCCACAATGCCCACCACGTTGCCATCCAGCACAGCCACCCAGAAGCAGGAGCCTGTGAGGGACAGGACGGTCAGAGGTCCCTCCTCTCTGCAGCCCCGGGGCACTCCCTGCCCATCCCATGGCCTGACGCAGCTCTGCTGGACAATCCTGCCCAATGCCCCTGACAACCCTGGAGAGGACCCCAGACCCTGGGACAGCAACTTCAGGACAGGAAGCCCCGGGATCTATAGCCCAGACAAACGATGGCTCAGAACAGACAACTCTAAGACAAACCGTTATGCAGAAGCCCCACGAGTCATCCTCCTTCCACCCTACCCCTGCCACTGACCCCAGCCTCCCCTGGGCAGAGAGCCCAGTGGTCAGACCAGTCTCCCCTCCCACGGCTTGGTCCAATCACAGCACACTGCAGGGAAGAAGGAAGGCCTCAGTGGGGCCAGGAGAGGAACAAGGAGGGGAGAGGTGACAGGGGGGAGGTGCCAAGGAGGGGAGAGCACTGAAGGGCCACCGGCCACAGGGAGAACTGGCCATTCCTGGTGACACAAGTCAGAGATACCTACACACTGCCCTGGCCTCGGTCCCTCCACCTGAGATCCCCCCTACCACAGGGCAGTACCCACCAGCCTCCAGCTGCCATGTCCCAGTGCCCCCACTCTGTTAGTCTACAAGTTCCTGACCCTGCACTTGCTGGGATGAACCTTTGCAAAGGTGACCACACCTCCCTCATCCACCCTGGTCAATGCCTTTGTGGATCAACGCTGACCCATCAGCTCTAGAAGGCAAATCTACCTTTACCCCTTGATCCTGAGGCCTGGCCCCAGCCAGCCAGAAGAAGAGGTGACCAGAGCCTGGGCCACCACTGCCCACACAGGTCCCCCGAGGTGTGTTCTTCTATAGCTCTGTGTAGCTGGAGGGTTGCCACACCCCAGAGAACACAGGCCTCTCTGCTCCCCACCACTCCACCCACACGGCATCTCCATTCCTGAGCTAGACCCCTGGGCCACCAGCAGGTCCCATCTCTCCAGACCACTCAGACCAGAGGTCAGGACAATTCTCGAGTCCCAGCCGCTCCACACTCTGTATCCGTCTGCAGCCCTATTATCCCATTTGCATCAACAGCCCCCAAGAATCCAGCAGGGCTGTCTGCTGCTATTTCGTCAGCTGTGCCCCACCTCCTCCATTGGGGTCTTCTGCAAGACAGGCAAGCAAGACCCCTCCACACCTGTGCCCCCTCCAACAATCAGAGAAGCCAGCGGTCTGCAGAGCCAAGAGCAGGGTCGCCACACCAGCCTGCCTCCTGCGGCCTGGGCAGGGGTGCTAGCTTGGCCTCACAGCTCCTCCCCCTCTCCTCCTGGGCTCCACCATGGTGATAAGATGACTTGTTTGGGTTTCGGGAAGTGTCAAGGAGAAAGGGAGGGACTCAAGGCTAGTAACAACAGGTAGAAGCTGAACCTCCCTCTTCAGTCCCTTGGGCATTGAGGAAACCACTGGGCCCAGCCTGAGATCCACCCAAACCCCTGCCCCTTCTCCACAGGACAGCTCAGGAAGTACCCAGAAACTAGGGCCCAAGGTTGCCACCCACGAACACAACCGATGGCTCAGGACAAATGGGCAGCCCCAGGGCAGACACTCCAACCTCCTGACTTCAAGTCCACTGATGGTGACCCCAGAGTCCCCTACCCCCAACTCCAGGACTCCCTGCTTTCCTCCACCCAGAGTAGGCAAGGATCCAGGACCCAAGTGAAACATCACCCCTGATGCCACACCCCTACCAGACCTCAGCAAGGGCCAGGGAAAGGTGACCAGGAAGAGGGCACCAGGGACCCAAGGACAGGGGTGTCACAGGACCACGAATCCACATCTGCCTGCCCGAGTCCCTGCCAGCCCACCACACCCCTACTCTTGGCAGGGAGAAATCCTTAGTCACCCAGCAAGCTCAGGTCCTGCCATTGTCCCTAGCCTAGCCCTGAGGCTGCTCTGGGGCCTGCAGCATCGGCAGCCCACCACCAACTTACCAGGTGGCTTCATGTAGTACTGCTCTATGTCGGCCATGTCGGTGTGCAGGGCGCACTCGAGGTAGGCGAGGATCACCTTGCGGCTGTAGTAGTAACGTAGGCCCAGCAGCCCGGCCGGCACCAGACAGGTCAGCAGCAGTGACCGGGTCAAAGCGAAGCAGAGCGCTGTGGGAGGCAGAAAAGCAGACATGAGCGGGGTGATGGGCCTCCCCTGCCAGATCACCCACAAGACACCCTGGTAAATACAGCAATTAAACAGCAACACCACACAGCTCTGGTGACGGCGCAGGTGCGTACATTCTCCTTGCTCGTTTTCACCTTCCAAACTTCAGAACCAGAAACAAACCCTAGAATCACCAAACTTCTCCTCTGGGCAGACTGCCCTCAACAGCTGAGCAACTATGTGGCACCAGACAAGGCCCCTGAAGGCCTGTGCCCACCACCCACGTGGTCTGGCCACTGAGAAGGGAACTCTGCCCCCACTTGTACCCACTCTAGCCTAGTGGGAAGATCAGAAGCACCAGCGAGCCGGCTTCAGAGCTAACCTCCAGAGCCCTGCAGACCACTCCCCACCCCAGGCCATCACCCCGGCAGCTGTGAACGTGGGGAGTTGTGAGATGCTTCTAGTGCAGTTAGGCAACAGAGGCAGTCACATCTGGTGTGAGAGTTGCCTCTGCTGCGTGACCTTGGGACAGTCACAATCCCTCAGCCTCAGGCTCATCTCTAAAATGGGGAGAACAACTCTGGCACTGACGAAGGGGCCGAAAGGGCTCCAAGAGCCCGCGGGGTTGGTGCTCCCTGAGGACCAACTGCCCACCTCCGCCCTTCCCGGCCCCTCATTCTGCCTCCCCAGCGCACACCCTCCGCGGCACCCCGGGGAGCTGGCTGCCTTCCCCTCATAAATTAGCACTTGGAGCCGCTGAGGCAGCCTCCCCCGCCCTGCAGATTATATATAGTTACATGCACCAGGCACACAGCCTCAGCAGCGGGCGCTACCTGCCCCGTCACCCCGCCCCCACCCACGGGGGCCAGGTTGAGGAAAGCCCCCACCGTGCCTGTCGGCCTCCGCAGTCCCCACACTCTTTCCGCATGCCCCAGGCCTGGCACCCCGCGGCCTCAAACTGAGCGGGTCAGGCCGGCCCCCAGAACGAGAGACCAGTAGGAGCAAGAGTGCGTGTACACGCGGGTGGAGTGCGCTCTGCGGTTCTGCCGCGGCTCCGCTTCCCTCCAGGCGGGGCTCAGGCGGAAACAGCAGCGCGGCCCCGGGGCTCCGAGCAGGGAGTCTGATTAGAAACTGGGAGGGGCGGTGGTGTGGAAGAGAGGGCCCACGCGACTGTCCCCAGAGGGCCGCGCGGCACGGACTGCGACAGGACCAGGGGCCCGAGTAGTGTGTCCGGCACGCCCGGCCCCCACTCGGCGCCGCCGCACTGACCCGCCAGCAGGGCGTAGAGTAGCTGTGTGCGCGGATGCTGCCGCAGGCCGCGAAAGGCCGTGTTGGGGATGCGCTCCATGATGCCGTCGTAGAAGATGCGGCGCGCCGCCTCCTGTTCCGCGGCGCGGAACTCGCGGATGCACACACCGCGCCCCTCCGGAGGCCCCGCACCCCCTGCGCCATCCGGGCGGCTTCGGGGCGGGGGCGCGGGCGCTGGTAGCGGGGCGGCGGGCCCAGGCGCGGGCAGAGGGGGCCACATAGCGCCGGCAGCGACAAGCAGCGCGTCCTTCTTGGCCCCCGGCAGCGCCTCATGGTCCTCGGCGGCCACGATCTTCGTCTCGCAGACCATGTCGGGAGGCCCACACTGCATGCAAGCCGGCCGGGGGGCGCAGCGCGGAGAAGGC